GCGACTGCTATGAGGTTGAACGAATTATCTCGCGAACGGTAAGTCGTTTTCCTCCGTTCTACTTTTTCGAATTCGGAGTATTTCTTAGAAAAAGAAACCATCTGTTGTTATTTTGTACAAGAAAGTTTCAGACTAGTTTTTAGTACCCGAGACTATTACAATTTGTGTATACCTAGAGAAACGTCAGCCTTTTACCTCCATCACAATTTCCCGCGGTAGCTTAATTGACAACTTCTACGTACGCGTCGGAAACCTGGCCGGTAAGCAAGCGAATGAAAGACCACTCCGGGTTATCGGTTGCACATTTTTCTTTTTCTCACGCTTTTGAAATACGAGGGTCCACGTGGAACTTAGGTTCTGCGTGCTCCTGAAAGTCGGGATTTTATCTTGGTAGAACAGGAAAAGTTAGGTTTTCTTGCAAAGGTTTGTCCATCCTAACTAAGATGTGACTGTCTAAAACTTCGAACTAAATTATTTTCGGGTACATTGAGACAGCGCTAGGCGCAATGAAAAGTGTTCTACAATGACTCCACCACAGACAATCGCTAATCAATAGAGTGCGATGAGCGGCTGGTGAAGAGAGTTTTGGGGACAGATCGATCGACATAAATTGATTCCAACTCTCATCATAGGCTCAGAAGGAGGAGTCGAGTCTTAGGAGCTAGCTCTATGAAAAATGATGGCACCGTTAGTGTAAAAAACGGGCTGAGTTAAAGGCAAAGTGAGAGCTTAGTGATGCGATGGCTAACACGCTATCCACCTGGAAAGGGTAACCTCAGGTTCGAAGCTGGTCTGAGGTCTGAATTTCGCAAATATCTCGTCAGCACTGTGGTTACATGGTAGATTTTTTTACAACCATTATGCATTGCCTTCATGTAATTCCTTCTGGAAGATGATCGCGGATGGGACCTACGTATATCACATCAAGTGGCTTGGATACGATACATCATCAGATCCTGAGAACTTCGTCGAGGAACAGCATATGGTAGGATTTCCAACGTTACTGGGAAAACTCTTCGAAGTTTTTGCATACTCGTGTTGTCATTCTATTTTGTTTTTCTTTCGTTCTTTAAATGAGTGTTGTTTGGTCGCACTGATCTTCATAGTTTCTACCTATGTTTCATTCAGATGTGTCCAGACCTCATCAGGGAGTTTGAAGTGCTTGAAAGAAAGAAAAGAAAGAAGCGTTTGGAAAAACTTCGAGATAGAATCAGGCAAAGGCGGGAAGCGAAACTGAGGACAAGAAAGCTGGTGTGGCTTCTAGAAACTTTCTAAAATTTTGGTTGCATTTATTAAATCGAATCTGGTACACGATATGAAGGATTCAAACAATCTGTTCCACCGAGTACCCAGAAATTTTCAACCAATTCTTGAATTGTCATAGTACTGCTAGTAGTGCTAATGTAATTTTGGTTATTGGAAAACCAATTAGGTATGTGTATGCCTGAATTATTTGTCCGATCTTTGCAGGCGTGCAATACCGGCTCATCTGATGAGGAAGACGGCGACGTATGTTTAACAATATTTGTACACTTTTCTAGACAATGTCACATGGTTTCTTCTTTTCAGAGATCGACCTCGATTCGTACCGGTGAGATTAAGCAAAGTTTTTCCTTTTAAATTAAATTTCATTTTTCAGAAACCTTCTCGAAGGGAAGATTAACGTATTCAGTTCATCTTTCTGGAGCAGGCACGGTTTTACCGTCTGTGCTTCAGTTTCCTCAGTTTATTTCTTATTGGAGACAAGTTGAAAATGAATATTTGCTTGCAGTACTAAGCATGTTGTGCTTTTCTTTTAGCTCAGAGTGTAGAACGAAGACCAAAGATCTTCTGTGATCCATCGTATGAGCGAAGAAAAGTTACTCATGGTAATGACTTTCATTATTTAAGAGAAAAAGAAAGAAAGGAAATTAGGAGAGAAAAAACGGTGTGTTCCTACAGTGAGAGATTAAGAAAGCATACTACCATAATTCCCATTTATGGCAAAAAAATGAGAGGCTTTCTATATCGCTCACAAGTTTATTGCCATGTAACAAAATAGTACTGCCTACATGAACTTCGTGGGGCGCTTAGAGCGCAGTTGTCGGAGGCGCTCTGCAATACATATGGGATCGATCCCGCGCCCTTGGCTCACCAAGCCCTTCATTCATCCGGGGCCGGTAAATTGGTGCCAGACTCGTCTAGGAGGATAGCAGCACTGGTTCGATGCATCGATAGGTTACCGCGAGTCATTATATAGGCCAAATATTCAATCAATCACATCTAACGGTTCTTATTGAAGTCAACTGCATGGCGCATCCCTCAAGAATTGATCAACGCCGAGAGCCTTGCCATTTTATCCTTCATATCAGTTTCGTGTACTAATACATTCTAACTTTGGTTAAAGTCTAGAAAAATGGAATAGAAGGCATAACTTCCAGCTTGCTTCGAGCAGAGACAGACGTTGAACGGAAACGAAAACAGGGATGAAGTATGTCTTGTTGTCTCTTTTACTTTATTTACCGGTTCACAGCAGTTTTTCGCACCTTGTGCACTTACTCACTTTTCTATAAGTTTACTCCTTAAGCGAGATGATCCTTATGGAGGCTTCAAGTACGTTTCCAGAGAATCCGACGGTTTCAGAAAGGGATATAAGGTTCCCACCTGTATTATTTCATTGCTTGCATTCTATCTGTTCTTTCAGTCATAATTTTAGACCGTGAAAGTGAGTGTTGTGACAGAACATCCTACAACTGGTGAAGTTGTTGGTGTTGTTGTTTTCTCTCACCCGCGTGATGGACAGGAGTTCGCTCAATACATTCCTTTGCGAGAAATCCACCAGAATGCACCCACGGTTTGTTTTGCTTTCCGTGAAAGTTCGTTTCTTTGAACAGTAAGATGCCACTTGCTAAAAGAAAAGAGAACTTTAAAAGAAGGGAAGGCCTTCTTGTTTAATCAGTGGATATAGGGCACTAGCAACTTCTATTTTAATAGTATATTTTCGCCAATAAATTACTGCACTGTTACCGTTGTTCTCGTCAAGATGCCAGATATTTCTAAACCTTTATTGTAGCCGCGTGTAGCGCAATTGTAGAAGGGACGCGTAGCGCGGTGGTTGGAGGCGCCCTGCAATACACATGGGATCGATTCCCGCACCCCAGGCTCACCAAGCCTTCCTTGCCTCCGAGGTCCGTAAATTGGTGCCAGAATTATCTGGAAATATAGCAGCACTAGCTCGATACATAGGTAGGCCACCATGAGTTATTCTGAAAGCCAAATATGCATTCAGTCACCCCCTACGATGCTTACTGCAATTGGAAGCATGGGGCAACCCTCAGGGGTAGATCAACGCCGAGAGCTCTATCGTTTGTCCTTTATTATTGCAGGAGCTTTGCCGGTACTTTTTGGACGCCAGTAGCAACGATCGGAAGGAGCTTGCATTATCGCTATTGCTGAAGAAAGCCGGCCGAATGTGATACGGCAAGAGTTCGACCACATCGAAAAGATTTTCATGGTTTCCAATGTGCTGTTATGGAGATAAATAAATGTTGAAATTTGTATACATTGTGGTGTTTTAAAATGTACGATGAAATTCTATGGTCAACTATGGTGTTATTTCCATTCACCTTGAAATATTGTGATATGAGATTAGTAATGTGATTACTGTATTACTGTATGGTTACATTTCTTGGTAAATTGTTAGAAAGCCCTTATAAACTGATCTTCTTAAGCTGACGTGAGGTTGGTACAGACCTTCGTTGCCGTTGTCGTTGGTTTTGATGTTGTTGGTCGATGGCTGACGTTTCGGCGGTTTCGCCTTCCTTAGAGCCGTGATGTTACGTCCCGCACGTGGGCGGGCGCCGAAACATTAGCCAAGTAAAACTTTTCATGTCAACCTCGGAACGGCTCAATCATCTAGAAAATCGCTGTTTAAGGTGAGATCGAATCGAATAACATAACGGTGATAACGGGGAAGATTACAGTATAGAATATCTCATGATTGTCTGATTGCGATGACATTACAAGCTCTTATGTAGTTACTTAGACAGCCTAAATCCGTATATCCTGTAGAATTCAAAAGTTCAACATGATTGGTTGAGTTGCAGCCAAAATCTATGCGGATCCGTGCGGTTTAATTGGACTCTATCTTCAGGACTTTGTTATCTCTCCTAATTTATAAGTTGAATACTGGTGAATCGTGCTCTATCATGAAATTCCAAAATGTCCGTGGTTGAGCGTTCTCAGCTCTCCTGGCAGTCGCAGTAGTCGCATGTAGGATGGGGTACCCTGCTGCTCGAATCCTTCCCGGCAGCAATGGTGATCCGGCCAGTCGACCGAGCATGATGTTCAGCGAGCCGAATCAAAGCCAGACACAGATATTAATGTTAAATTTTTTACATGTCCTGTCTATCACATCTGCTGTGCGAATTCTAGCACTTATCGCACTCGAATCGTTTCCTCGCATCCACCATCCATGGAGGTCTTTCCAACTGTTTACGTGTAGCTGCGGCTACTGCTTGAGGATATTCCTTTCATCATGAATACCACTGAATGCTTGGCGAGTCGATTCTCCCTTTGGTCCTGAGATAGCTGAGCTACAGCGTTACCTCTTGTATTGCAGAGAGTGAACTTTTCCCATAGAGGTTCGGTTCCAACTTCCCAACACCAGAGGAATGAGATGCGCTGTGATCCCGGAGCTGTTTTGAACCAGCACCGCGCTCGTGATGATGGCCATTACTACCAAAGGGCTGCTGTTGACATTAAATACGTTTGACAAACAAGGACAGTAATCCGGAACATATTCTTATCTTTTATTCATCTTAAATATGAAGTGTAAGACGTATTTTCAATTGTTTCTTGCACCAATGCGTCGAAGTAACGAAGTTGACAGTGTCCATTTTGCTTCTAACTCATCTGGCCTGCTCTTTCTGTTCTTCAAATTAAACCTGAACCGTTGGCAGTTTTAATACTCGGTAAAAGTTCTTATTTAGCAGAAATATTCTATTAGGATGCAATTAACCTTACTTTAAGTCTAAGTTCTCCTTGTGGTGGTTCATAGTGTTCGCCCATGCCCCTTCACATGTGCATCCTTCCGGAGCCGGAATGTGATAAACCCCGAAGTGATGCTTGTCGTTTTCTGGTATCTCCCTATTCGACCTGTTAATTGAAACACGTGCTTAGTGCTCTTAGGGATTTTCTCGCCCACAGGAGCACGTTTCAAGTGGTCAAGTTTTTTTTTCATTTTTCACTCTGCTTTGAAACTTCTTTAATGAGACGTCGTGCTCGGTCAAACAAACCAGCTATGTCTCTTCAGAGGCGAAAAAACTACTTTCAACCTCTTGTAAGAATATTCTATTTAGAAAGCATGAATGCGATTGTCCAAAGTTTTTTTAGTCAGAAAATTGTTTGATTACAGTATTCATCGACAAGGAACGTGGAATTGATTTCCGCGCCCATGGCCCACCAAGCCTTCCATTCCTCCGAGGTCGGCAAATTGGTACCAGACTTGTCTGGGAGCATAGGAGCACTGGCTCGATACATCGATAGGCCACCGCGAGTCATTGTAGAGGCCAGATATGCATTCAGTCACCTCCAACGATACCTAATGAAGTCGAATGCATGGCGCATCCCTCAGGGATTGATCAACACCGAGAGCTTTATCCTTCTTATCCTTTAATCATCGACAATTTGCTTCATTCATATAAAGTGAGCACACTATCATATCAAGAACTCGGACTACGATTAATTCTATGGAGCAGATCTTGATCAGAGGAGCGGGACAATGATTTCATACTAATGAACCGATTTCTAAAGGTTATAGCCATCTTAGAGGAAGCATATTGCGTGATTAGATTGGATTATATAGATTTTGCTAACGTTATTTTAACAAGAAAAGTAGTAGGTGTAGAATAGAGGAATCGGCAGAGATAGTTGAAATACCACAGGATACTCTTCGTTGTCAATAAGTTTGTAACCACCTATAAGATCATCTATGTGAAACACGAAATTACGTAATTTGCCCATTTGGCAGATGCGGTGACTGCATGAGTTCACCTAGGACATATCTGATCTCTTGTGGTACTTGCGAACACGAATATATTGGTGAAACGGGCAGACCTTTTTGTACTCGTATATAAGAACACCTAAATGGCAAACGAAAAGTAGAGCAAGGTACTCCACTAGGGACGCATTGGATACAAAAGCGTAGCGGAGATGATTTTGATATAAAAGTCACTATCCCTCGCACTAGATGCCAAAACACCAACGCGCACAATTCTAGAGGCTTTTTGGATAAATGCCAAGAACCCTGCATTGAATAGCAGGTAGAAATGCCCAGACGTAACACGCGATCTGGCTCCATTTCTCTGCATCGACTTTTGATGTGTGGTGGTGCACTTATCAACCATAAGCGACTCTAAGCGGCTGTCCTTCCTCAGTGGAAGGCGCTTAAAAAACGGTGTGCTTTTTCGAGAAGCTGTTGTTCGTGTAGTTGCAATTTAGATCACATTCTTTCTGTTTGTGTTACTGAAGGGTTTGGGATGATAAATTGCATATCAATATGCCCCTCCGGGCGCTGAAGAAGGCAGTACCAGTGAAACATCAGCTTTAAAGGTATAAAGAAGAAGGTAACACCCCGTGTTTGATCAATAAGAATATGGGGAATAGGTGCAGAATTTAAAGAAACCAGTACTAATGAAATCTTTTTCTAAGCACCACTTGAAATAAACGATGATTCACAAGATAGCGCCAAATTCACCAAACTAGGTGGACATTGACGAAGTCATCCATTACAATGTTTAACGTTTTGTTTTCTGCCTTCTATAATTTTCATGGCAGGTTACTAAGCGAAATAGAACCACAATTTTGCTGAGATATTTGCAAAACTCTGGACCGCAGGTGTCTATGGTGGGAAACGAACGCGCTATTGTCCTTTCCGTGGAGTAACGCGTTCACCACCACACCATGCGGGTCCTTCGTTTCGCCTGTCTCTCAGCTATTTCTATCGATCTTTTTGCCATAGCAATCACCCGTCACCGGGGTTGATCTGGGGGGCGCAAATCGGCATAGAACCCAGTTAAGCTATAGCTAACGTTAAACATTGTGATTTCAACTACAGTCAAAGCGTCATTGTTGTCATACATTACAATTTGTCGAGGTTTTCGATTCGCTGACAGATTATGGCGATCAAAAGCCGTTGAATATGGGGCACTCGTGTTCGGTACAAATATTGTAGCAGTCTGCGAACAACAATTTTTGCTATTCGCTTCGGGAATCCCTTAAAGACTGGAGGGTTGAGGGTGCACAGTCTTGACTGTAACGTAGCACGGTGAAGGCCTCACCATTATGAAAGCAGTGCCGATGGATGCTACTTGAGGTCATCGCGTTCTGACGCTATGATAGAAGAATGACGATGAGCCGGCCACCATATGAAGGTACTAAGTACTGATTGGGACAAGGTTGAGATGTGCGATAGAAGTGACTGGTAACGACAACATTCGATGAAAATACGTCAAGGTGTGTATTTCAGGGTGAGCTGCGTGTCGTATTTGACTTTCATAGTGTTCGTCTCTACCGTATCATCGTCAGGTTCATAGAAACATGTCTCAGACGCTATGAGCAGACATTTTCATGATTTCAAGAAACGAGAGCGCAAGAAGTATTATCGACTGATTGCATACTGGCTAGACGTAACGACATTGGAGGATGCACTACGTGCTTGCCATAGTCATTCAATCAACCTTCATCCCCTGGTCATATTTCCGCTATGCTCGTCCGAATTCTATGGAAATTCTGACGAAATGAAATGGGTAACGCATTTCGTTCTTACTGTTTGTGGTATTAGGTATTAAGTAGACCAATTCACTTGTACGTACTGGTGATATTCGACGTTTGATCGTAATCCAAAATTCCAGTAGCTGGTCGAATTTTGAACAGATCGTTCCGTGTACACTTTATCCGAAATGACAGTCATTCTGCTTAAGCACTTAAAAAGAGCTTATGATGTTTTGTTAATTCCTATGCGTTAAGATTTACTCAAAAATATAGTTTGGTTGGGTCACTGTAGCGCTTGGATTCGAGCAGTAGACAGCTGGAATCGTACCTTAAAGGCTTGCTTCATATCGCTCTTAGTGATGATCTTCATATAAGTCTTAATTTCGCTGTCCAAGTCACCCACAAAACGAATCTGAAAGTAATCTAGTTGTTTTCACAACAGATAACTAGGGTTTGCAAACATCCATCACTTGTAGTGCAACCAAAATCGATTTAGGACCAGACCTTATCATTGCGCTTCATTGCTAACAGCGATTTATTATCCTTAGCTGACACTGCAGCACGAAAAACAGACATTATCAAATACTGCATATATTGCCAAATCAAGATATGCATTAGCAAGTAGTTCCATTTGACTCCATTAGGATTCATGCATTTTCTTTGAAGCAATGATGTGATGAGGAACTTGATCTCTGTGTTTTATATGAGAGAATTATACCCTCTATGCCACCGGTTTCACATATGACTGTCAAATGAATCGAGTGAATCGGAGTGAGGAGTGTCTAGTAGCTCATCTGAGCAGCTCAGTGAACTCCGCTCGGTGGAAGGATATGAAAAGCATCAAATAGAAAAGCCTTCGTATACGTAAAATAAGAAAACGACGAAGCGTCAGACCCCATTCAACCCCTTGGAGATGCATCATGCATTCGACTCAGTTCGTAACACCGTAGAGATGAATTAATGTCTGTACAACGCTTTGCAAATGTTCTCCGATTTTTCCAATCAATATTTTTAATTTCCCAAGCAAGCCTTGTACCAAAATGCCCATAGAGGTGGCATGAGAGCTTGGTTGGGTCGAGGCGTGGCATCGAACCAATAATCCTTTGCCTATTTCGGAGAGCTTAACTACTGTCTTACATATGCCTGATAACTATTAAAATACAATGGATGAAATTCATGCCATTTTTAATTATTTAAGAGCACTTCTAGCTATTTGCAGCACAAATCGTAAAACGCTGAAGTTCTGTGCTAAAATGGTTATGCCAATCCCGATAAAAAATTATTTTTCTGCAAATCCACTCTACTCATTGATGATTAAATTAAGATGGGGTTTTAAATTTGAGTTGATCGTCTTTCATTCAACTTCTTAACAGTTATCACACAACGTTAATGTTTTTCCCTCTGAGGAAACCAAAGGGGGCGTGTGGTGCAATAGTCGGAGGCGCCATGCAACACACACGTGGAATCGATCCCCGCGCCCGTCGCCCACCAAGCCCTCTATCTCGGCGGGGTCGGCGAGTTGGTACCAAACTTGTCTGGAAGGGTAGCAGCACTGACACAATACATCGCTAGGCCATCGCCAGTCATTGTAAAGGCCAGATATGCATTCAATCACCTCTAAACGATGCTTAATAAAGTCTAATGCATGGCGCATCCCTCAGGGATTGATCGACGATGAGAGCTTTATCCTTTTTTAGCTTTTAAAGAAACCACTTAGCTGTTCTGATTCACATTTGTTTGCATGTCTTATTAGTGTTTCATTTAAAGATCATCTTTTTTTTACTCGATTAACATATTCGACCAATTTTCAGTTGTGACGGGCGTGTTGGTTATTTTCATGGAAAGGGATTTTTTCCGATAACTGGAGGACTTGCGAAGCATGGAGGAGGTCTGGATTATAGAAAAAGCCTTACTCTATCTTTCTCTAGGTATGAATGGTATGTATGCTAATATTTATTACACTCAATGTTTTTCATCAATAAGCAGACAACCTCGTGTCTGCTTATTGATGAAAAACATTGAATTATCAATTAATGCCGAGGTTAACAGAAAGTCGGTCTTGGGAATTTATTACACTCTTCTATGGTCCGTCCTGCAAACATGTTGACCTCAGCATTTAGAAAGTTTTGCATCTGCTGTTGAGCCTATTTCTGTATTTATTCCTCTCTTCCCACTATACCTGTCTATTCCAGAAATTAAACGATTTATAATAACAACTGCGATTTAGACAGCAGCCAGTTGCCAATAAAATGGCCAGACAATGAACTTCTTCGAGAAGTCTTTTGCTTATTTCTAAGCCCTGAATACAGCTGTTCCCATGCACGCCACAACATGTGAACAAGCTGTCGACTGTCTATAGAAAATATAGAAAAAAAGTTCTTCACGACAAACTGAACTACTTGAAGCAAGATTATCTCTATAGATGTCATTCCGACAACAATGACACTGCAAATGACTCCTACAGAGATCGTATCTGCATGAATTTCTTAAACGTTGTTATAATTGACTTCTTCCACTATCCTCGGAAGAAGACTTAGACATGGAAATGTTAGTAGGATGAGTATTTTTTATACCATTCTCGCTTCATCTCAATAATACAGAGGAATTTTGACTTTTTCCACGATTGTTTCTTTCTCGTACTTCTTCTCCGATGTTCGTTGGAAAGGAACACCGCTATTTAGAAGATAATCTTTCAACGTATACGTAGGAGATCCGCGGATCTTCTTCATAGAGGGATCTTACGCCGGTTAGTCGCGAAGCAAGGTGGCGCATGCAGACCGAGGGTTAATCACGGACTAAAAGCGACCTTTGCGTCCCTAAGATGCAGGTGGATCCAAGAGATGGGCTCCCTGTTTCTGCTGCACTGGTTTGGCACACAACTTCTGTATTTACGAGGACGTATTCATACATGCGCTCATGCCTCATTCGAGAGATGCTCCATTGACGAAAATCCGGTCCGATACGGAGACGAAGAGGCCACGTCGAGACGACGAAGAGCTGTGCATCATCGACTCGGTGCCGAGTGAAACTAATTTATCAACCTCGTTCAAGCTCAGCAATTTAAACGTATGCTGATTACTTTACTACCGAAGTTAATTGAAGGTCTTTTTCAAAAGAGGAATACACAGTGCTGTTTGTAGTAGTTCATTTACTCGTCTGCACTGTTGCTCAACAAATTTATTGGAAGAGAGTGACGCGGTTCGAAACATATCTTCTACCAAGCCCGTTTTCGATAACTTGCGGTAGACTTATCTGCAAAGGAAGTCTCGTTTAATTGTCCACATGGGGTTGCCATCAACCCTTACGATTATGGCCAAAATCTATTCCCACCTCGTAGTCAAATCCTTGAGCGAAACATGGCAGATACGTTGAAGCAGCTTGAGTTATTCTACGAATCTATCGTTCGGACCAGCTTTTTTCTACTGAGTGCACATTGTTGCTTGTACTATTGGCATTTACAACGATTCGTTCTGAAGAAGATTACTGTAAATTCAACTTAACTGGGTTCGTTACCGATTTGGGCTTCCCAGACCAATCCCGTTGACGGGTGATTGCTGATGGCTTGTAGGGATCAGAGGGAACCTTTTTTGGACCGGTCTGGTACCAACTTACCAACTCCAGAAGGATCAGAGGGTTGACTGGTGCGGAGCGGAATCGAGCTAACGGACATACGAGTATTCACCGTATCTGTGATCACAGCGCTTCTCGTGTCCACGTTTAGTGTAACGAGCAATTTTTTATTATATTTGTTTGCTTATCACAAGTATCTTTTTGAGCCAAGATGTGAGCGCTTCTTGCAGTGGTTATATGGGAAATATTGGGTGAATTTATTTTAAACGAACAATTCTTCCCACATGATGATAATGTATATCAGTTTTAGTTGTGTATTCATGCTAACATAGTAGTTATCTCTAGTGCAGGAAAATGAACAAGTCTTGCTCACCGCGTGCAAATCATAGGTACAAGAAACATTTCCAGACTGTGACCCGAGAGAGCCTTTCCGGACATTCTTCCACGAATCGGATCGCCTTAATGTCATCCTTGACATCATAGCGATTGGTGCACCATCGCTGAATGTCGGTGATCCTGGAGTGCGTGTAGTGATACCGAAACTTGAAGACATCAACACTGATGGTAGGAACATCATACCATACTTACCATCATAATGTACAGAAATGTTAGCGAAGTAAGAAAGCGCCATAGTTGTCGTCATCTGGGATCGATCTCAGCCAGTATAGTAAGCGTGCCATTATAAAGTACAAGTCACTGTAACACCGATAATAGTGGGTCCTTTCAAACGTGGATCAAAACAGTGTGCTAAAACAAGATAAAGTTACCAAAACCCTCGATAGTGTTAGACATAATGTGGATGTTCAAATAAAGCAGGGATTACGTTAGCTAGAACTAGCTGATCGACTGGCGAAACGAAGGACCCGCATTTTGTGGTGGTGATCGTGTTACTCCTCAGGGAGGACATTAGCGCGTTCGTTTCCCACCATAGACACCTGCGGTCCGGAGTTTTGCAAATATCTCAGCATCATTGTGGTTACATTTCGCAACATACCCTGCGATTAAAAAGAGTATGCAATAAAGAACAAGTCAAAATTACTAATAAGATTCTTCGTCGTGTCTAAATTCCGAGGACAGTCCACAACACAACGTTCTTTCCGTACTAGTAGAGTTCTCATTTTACAAAATTTCTTCATTTCTAATCACCGAATTTTCCATGACGTAATCCAAGTCGATGGTTCTATCACTCCCTGGTATTGTTTGTGTATTTTCGGTTCCTTACTCATCATCGTGTGACGTTCCTTAAGTATATTGTGGCTAAACCGTACGAATAATATCAGAACGTCTGTTATCGATCTCTAACTGTCAGCTTGACAACAAACTGAATTTCTAAGCAAGATAGATATGGTGTAGTTGACATATTCGCGAAGATGTCAGTTCTTCCATAACTACGGTACTTTAGACTTTCAAGATCGGATTGCTTCTTTAGAGCATATTTTTGCATTCATTCTGCAATTATATGTTTAGCCTTCGTAGAATATCATTCTTCTTTACATCATTACATCTGCTTCAAGTTTGAATTTTCACATACTTTCAGTTTTCACCACGAATCACTCAGTGGGCGATCATCAGCCGTTTTGTTGCGAGGCTACGTGGCACGTCTCCGGTTAGCGTGTAGGTGGTTGAACGAGTAGCAAAAGCGACTTTGTGCTTTCCTAAGACGCAGGTGGATCCAAGAGATGAGTCCCTGTTTCTACGGTGGCAATTTAACGCATACCTTCTGTGATTACGTTTTGCGTATCGAAAGCTTACTGTACGAGAAATGTTTCAGAAAAGAAGCAAAACCCATAACTAGCTCCAACGACTTGGTGGTCTTCAGAACTTCTGATTTCTATGCAGCCAGAATAAAAAAATTTGTTTCTCGTTGGCAAAAATCTGTGTCGTTCTAACTTCGACTAGAAAAACTTGTTCTGAGCTGAAATACGCAATATTAGTGGTACGGGATAGAATCCTGCATTAGTTTCCGAACGACCTAGCAGTTTGGCATTTTTGTAACAAACCTATGGAGTTGTATCCGTCCATGAATGCAACAATAATTTGACATGAAATCAAACAGCGAATAGGAAATGGCATGCTGTCAAGTTAATTTGTTGATTGAGAAGCATTTGTTATGTCTAAATGGTCCCACATGTGTTTTTGGAACAATTCGAAGCCTTTGATCTCTGCCGTTTAGAGGTTTGTCTCTAGAAACTTACTTATGTCTCTTAGCACAATCATCTGCGCTTAGTGAAAGTGAATATACGTGGGCCGCTCCTCGTCACGTTATAGGAAACTCCTAGATCGCTGAAGTCTTCGGATTCTTCTAGGACAACTGCGATTCCAGTTATTAGCAGACCCATCGACCGAGTACGACATGTGGTATCCCGTCAAATCGGCATTTCATCACAGTAGATGGTGGTTTTAATATGCTCATCATATTAGAGAAGTGCTGTGTCCCGCATATCACGTGAGGATGGATGACCTAAATATCCAAACTTGTAATGCCTTGACACTTGGACACTTGGATGGCCCGTCTCCACTGGTTGTGCGGGACCCAGCATAATTGCGACTTTTTCGGAGCTTTGTTGGTTTAGCTATTGAGATTTCCTGGAGTCTCCGAGGTCAGCCTAGCAAAAATCCGCCCTAAGTCGTCATCACCACAGGCTGTCGCTGCCCTTGTGGATCAGGGGAGATTTACCAGAATGCGACTAGTTTGATACCAGGACGGTGGTCGGTCCTGCTAATGATTTACTCTTAACTGAGCTTCCTAATGGAAACGTTGGGGGATGAATCCTCTCTGTACGTCGAAGCCCGACACCCAGGAACATCTCCTAACCACGATGAGGCTGTAAACCCTTGGGAGATGAAGGAAAGTTGTAGTTCTAGCGCCCATGATTTCTGTTTGTCGTTATAAAAAATAGATCTTCCACAGAACATAGCCGTGAAATGATGTTCGAAGTGAAACAAAAAGTGGTATGTGGTTTAAGTGTTTAGCTAGCACAACGTTGTCCAATATTTTCATAGTGGCCGACGTTTCTTCGACACCAGCTGTTCAGTATCAGATTAAATCGAGTCGGTCGTACAACGGTAGTTCGAGTGTTCGTTGATGTCATGTTCTTTGGAGTCGTCTCGAAACGAGCGGAGTGCTGGAACACAAGCTGGACGAACGGGATAACATCACATGATTCTAAACGCTGCTTGCACAGGTCATACGTAAACGAAAGGTGACCTGTCTTCTTGGTGACAAGTTATCCTGTAGCATCTGGAATTATTGTTATAGTTGGCAAAGCAGTATTATATTTCTGACCCTGTTGGTCTGGTTGGTCCCGATAGTCTTATTCATACCGCTCTATCCAGATCATCAGAGAAAACCGGAAAACCTGTTATTGAAGAAGTTGCTAACGGTCTTTAGACTTCCAAATCATTCGACCATGCCTTCTACTACTGGTCTGAACTCATTTGCTTGTTTATTCATAAAAGTGAAGGATCTTGGATGATAAAAAGCCTATGCGAATATCCATTACCCTGCTTCCTCAGTTTTCGGAGAATCTGATCAAATTAATATAGAAAATATATTTACAAATATCTAATGGAGACCAAAAGTCAGTCCAATAAGGACTGCCTGATAAGGCTTTTCCAGTTCACTGTTTGAAACAGAAATCCATCCTTTACGACTTTAACGGCTCTCACTCCATAATCTGAAATTGGTTTATGGTTATGTCTTTTTTATATAATCGTGTCTAAATTGATCGTCTCGATTGAAACAAGCAGCACTGATGCTTTAACACCTTCAAGGCCAGCGAAAACAGTACGCATTGAAGCCAATGTGTATCGTCGGCAATGCCCGCCAATGCGCATGTTTACGAAAGTATTGCGTAGTTGTTACACACTGAAATGATACTGCAGCGCACACGTCTACGCGTTATATGTCGCTATCTCTAGCGAAGCAAATCCTCGTTACATATCGTCTCAGCCTGCTGTAATAAACTTCTTCGTAGCTGAATGACCGATGATACGACTTGTTTACGTGAATAAACCCAGACGAAGTTCAAGATTTAACAAGAGTTCATTATTAGTCGAAATGCACGTCACCATGAAATCGTAAAACGCTTTCAACGGAATATTTTGGCCATTTGTGTGTTGCATGGGATAGCATGCCCCTCCTATGATAAACTGGCTGGGGAAGTGGCATCATACTCAGCCTGCTGTGCTGATCACAAACCAGGGTTATAAAGGATAAATAAAAGATAAAGCTCTCGGCGTTGATCATTCCTTGAAGGATGCGCCATGCGTTCGACTTCATTAAGCATAGTTTCGAGGTAATTGAATGCATATCTGGCCTTCACAATGATTCGCGGAGGCCTGCCGATGTATCAAGCCAGTGCTGCCATCCTCCCAGACAAATCTGGTACCAATTTGTGACCCCGGAGGGATGGAAGGCTTGGTGAGCCAAGGGCGCGAGAACCGATTCTATGTGTGCTGCAGGGCGCCTCCGACGACCACGGCGCCCCTAACCTGGGTTATGTTTTAAATAAATAAAAGTTACTCACATAGTCCGTCTCACCAAGAATCATGGAGAGCACATCCCTCGAGCCCGAGATTTCACATGGCGTGCCGCCCCCTATGTTCTCCGTCTGAGGTTCCACATGGCGTGTCTACTCCCCTCTTTGTTATCACTAGGTCCGGAGTACATCGTGATTCCAGCAGCAACTGGAATCCGAACAACCGTTGGCGTGTTCGCAAACGGCACGTGACCGTCGACGGAACGCTTGTTTACCAGCGCCTGTCCTTTAAATCATCGTCAGCTGATTTCATCTGATGCGCCCTTTAAATAGTCCTTTTGGCGGTCATGTGCGCTCAGCGATGTGCTGCACGTTCCATTTCCGTCTTTCGGCTTCCTTCTTCCTCATTCTTTTCTCGAGTACTGATCGGCCCTTTCGTGCAGCACCTCATCGTAGGTATCTTCATTATTTGTAGCAGTCTCCAGGACCGATTTTCTATTAACCTCGGCATTGATCTGAGAGGATGCTGTATAAACATACTGTGTAGATTATGCGATGAGGAAAGATGTCTTCTATGAATCTGTAAAGTACTGAACTCCTAAAACGCTCTTTTTGTTGGGAACTTATCCTCACTTGTAGAAACACAAATAGAAAAAGGATTACTAATTGAACGATTTGATAGTTGCCTTGGACTCAGAAGCTGCTACTCGGAACTGACGCCATATCCCTGGGTTCTGATGGCTGTATTCTATCCATTTTGATCATTTTGATCTATTCTGGTCCTTCCGATCTCTCGGGGCTAAATTCTGTAGGAGTGTAGAAGCTAGTGTTTTTGGTTAGTAGAAATGTGTGCTTTTGATTCCGTGGTCACCACTTTGTCTTAGTTTTTCCTTTGTTCAGCTTCATTTCGAAAGTATTTGGGTGTATCATTAATGTGGGAAAGTACCATGGTTTTCGTCGACTACGTGCTCTCCACGTCCAGATACACTTCATAGCCATTGAGTCTTATAAGAGTAATACGATGCGAAAATAATGATGGCTTTAAACTTTAAGTTAACTTATTCCATAGTGAAATTTATCAGTTGAGGTAAGAACTGCTAGAATCTACAAATGTTTGCGTACAAGATGGAAGGTCTCTTGTTTTACCAGGATGAACGTCTCA